TCTGAAAACAATTTTTAATATATATATATAGAGAGAGAGAGAGAGAGAGAGAGATCTAGGTCTAAGTCTGTGGTGTTTAGAACTTAAAATAATGTTGTTTCTAGGTTCTCATGCCAATCGGTTAAGCAGGGTCCACTGCACAAGGCTTCTAGCCGGAAGGTCACCTTTATTGATGCTGATGTAGCGGTTGCATACGTGTAGCAGCTGATGTCATGCAGCCACTGGTGACCAAGACACGTCCATGTGATTGGCGTATTGTAATAGAATAACTCCACTACTATATATATTAGTCAGGTTTTACCGGTATGGTTGAAGGGTCAAACAAAGTTTGATCTAGATAATGAAAAAAAAACTTGTGAAGTCTAGTTTATGAAAATATAAAACTTGTTATGAGATTCAAGTGATTCTCTATTTCATAAATTCAGCTAATAATTGTACTAATCGATATATGTCTTTCTCTCATCAATCGGTACTAGTTAAAGTAATACAAATTTCTCTATTTGTTTGATGAGAAATGCGAAAGGAAAAAGGAAAGAAAAAAGAACTAAGGGGCGAATTTTTTTATTAAATCCGTCGGGATTGACGGGACCCGAACCTGCAGCTTATGCCTTGACAGCGCGATGCTTTGACCAATTGAACTATAATCCCAGAAAAATAAGAGATATAGCAAAAAATGCGATTTTTTTTTATTCCTCCGTATCAGATATTTCTGAAGGACAGAGGAGTTATACAGTTCATGGTAGATTGGCAAATTATTGGCCGAGCTGGATATCCAAATTCATTAGAATTCCATGTATATATAAGAAAGGCAAAATGCAATTATTTTATTTTATATTTTTTAGTAAGGGTTCACTGATAAGTTAGGTCCAAGTAATGAAAACGTTGAAACATATCAAAATCTATGGTTTTTCGTATTTGTCTCATTTCCTATAAAGGCTCTTAAAATAAAAAAATAATTATCTTTTAATAACTTTTGAAGAAGGGAATAAGCACCAGGTTTGGGATTCTACAACTTGGGATCACATCTCTGCTGCCATACTCAACGACTTACTCAGCCAGGGTTGGGAGATGCCTTTTTGGATTCTTGGGGATTAGTCAGGACGAAGTCTCGGATACTTCAAATTATCCAAAAAATAAAAATAAAAAAATGAAAACAAATATTTTTAAGAACGGCTTTCAAAGAAAAGTTTAATTGTTCATAATTAAATCTTGTTTAAAACTACACTCGAGCTCACTTCTTTAAGAAAAGTCATCCAATTTAGTTAAAATTGTTGGGCAATTGTAAACAAAAGCAAAATTCAACTGAGTTTTTTTTTTTTTTTTTTTTTTCCATTATACACACATACATATATATTTATAAATATGCCAGTTGTTAAATGATATTAGAATATAAGTTATATGACCCAAAATGTATTAATCAAAGATATATTAAGTATGTCCTACTAACTCTAACAAAATTGGATATATAGGCTGTGATTATTTTATTTTATTTTATTTATTTATTGTAGATTTCCATTGAATGGGGATCACGTCATTCTGCTGCTGGCCCTTCCAGAGCATCCTTTGACTTCACAATGTGCTGGTTTCGGGTCACTCAGAATCAATTGTTTTAGGAAAAAAAAAAAAAAAAAAAAGAAGTTCCGTTAGAAGACTTGTATAAAGGTCAATGAACATGAAAAAAGAATTTTAAAAAAGGGATAAAAAAACTGATGCAAAGTAGATAGTTCATGGCAACCAGTCTTAATTAGTCAATTTATAGATTTGGCAGGGAAAAATTTTTTTACCCCTTGCAGTTATTAATAAAAGTCTACACTATTGTACTAGTAATACAATTAGTTCCATTTACGGATTTACCCTTCGAAAAAAGAAGGTCAACACCATGAAAAGGCTGAGTGTTCTTCAATCTCTTGCGGCTATTTATGCCTTTCAGGACTTCAGTTTGTCTCAGACAGATCGTAGAAATTAAAGAGTTCATTTGGTGCTTAATTTGTTCCGATCATACTCTTTGCTTTCTGTTCGAGAAACAGGTTCCACCTCTCTCTCTCTCTCTCATGTTGCATGCAGTCACGTACTTTTCTTTCTCTTATGACTTAGTGTTTCTGATTTCCATTCAAAATCACATCACATTTTGATACGTTTGCATGGTTTCATACTTTTCATTTATGAGAGAATATTATGCTATTTTCCTGGAAAAGTCATGAGGAAAATTTAAGTGTTTTATTGATCTTTTCGATTAATACATTATACATGTTTCTAATAGAGCAGTCTTTCTCAATTTTACTTGTATTACATTCTTAGCTTACATTCTACTAGTTCTATATGTATGACGAAGGCTCATTTTTAAGTTACAGATTTTCAACAATAAAAAGTTAAAAAAACCATCATTCATCAGAAAAAGCACTTCTTTTAGAATCTTCTGACATCATGGAGACGAGTAATCATTTTGCTTAATTCTAATTGGCCCAAAATAATATATATATTAGGAAAAAGTGCAAAAAATCTCCTTGAACTATTAGGGTTTTGCAACTAACCCCTTGAACTACAAAAAAACCTACTTGAACTATGATTTTTTTTGCGAAAAACCCCCCTAAACTATTGATTTGTTGCATTCCGGTAAGTGACTTGATCGGAAATATTAAAAGATAAATTTACCCTTACTTAAAACTACGTCGTTTTGAAAGTAATACCTGATGTGGCAGTTTATAATTTCATAAACCAATAAAAATGTGACACCTTTTTTGTTACCCTCATACCCAAACACATCATAACAGACCCAAACACCTCCATTACTTTCAGCCTCAAACAGAGCATATCAGCCTTCAAATAGAGCAAATCGGCGGCGCCAATGATGGTGACAAAGTGGCGGAGAATGCTGTGGCGCTTGAACTTCAGGACTAGGGTTGGGATACGATCAAGGTTCTTGGAGACGTCGGCCACATCAATGGAAACACCTCTGTTTTCAAAAGCCCCAAAATCAATCACTCTGTTTTCAGAAGCCCCAAAGTCAATAACTCCTCAGTTCTTCATCTTCTATTCACCCCACCACCCCTAAATCGACTTATTGCAAAATTCGTAATGAGATAAACCCAATCAGAGCATTATCAAGCAAATCATCCTCGTCGTTGTCGGGATCTCGCTGCCGTCATCTCCTGCGCCTGCCCTGCCACCGCCTCTTGCACCGACGTACTCGTCGATGTTGGTATAATATATATATATATACACGTGTATATATGTCTGTGTGTGTCCAATTCCTCTTCGATCAAGCACATTACACCGGCGGCAACACCAGAGGATATATGAGTGTGTTTGTGTGTGTATATTATATTTGTGAGGTGGCGGTAATGGTAGTGGCGGAAGTGGGGTGGTGGTAGTGGTTAGTGATAGTGGGTGATGGTAGGCGGTGCCCCTCTTTCAACTCAATTCCTTTTTCTTTCCTTCCTTCATGAAATCAGAGAGATTGGAGAAGTGGGGAAAAAGGAAAACCCAGAATAAAGCAAATCAATTCAATTCAGTTATGTGCAAGGCTGAAGACGGTGACGTGATGACGGTGCCCCTCTTGCAACAATCACCGCAGATGAGATCTCTGTTATGGTGGTGGCGATGTACTCGACGAAAGCCAGGAGGGAGTTGCTTGTAGGCATCAGCGTCAGATTCCTTACTGCCGATGAGCTCGCAGGTTGCGATACAGAGAGCCGGTGAGACGTGCTTGTCGCCAGAGAGGAGATTGGTTAGATTGTTGACGGCGAATGGTATTATGCCGGTGAAATGGTTGCCAGAGAAGCTTTAGATTAGTGAAATCAGAGCGAATCTGACCGGAGAGGTGGTTAACATGAAGGCTGAGAACTTAGAGCTGAGTCAATTTTTCAATTCTTTTGGGTGAAGATCAGGTCCGGTGTCTAGTTCAGACCCTATACCTTCAGCGTACTCAATTTTAGGTCCGACCAAGCTTCATTCTATCAAAATAGTTCGGTGAGCTTCATTCCAATCATCACCGACCAAACAATTGATATCGACCACCGTTGAGGTTCAAAGAACAAACCAAAAGCTACAGCAGCTCTGGCCGCAACTTACATCATCCACAACCTCCGACAAGTTTCCCTATATTTCATAATTGAGTATTTTAGTCCGATGAAGATGCTACATCAATCAACTGTTCCGGCAACCGCTCAGATCAACGAGACCCAAAATCGAAAGTATAAGGATGTGTTTGGGGTTTATAAAAAAAGATATGGATTTAATAGTCATAAGGGGCTTTAGTGTCTTTTCATGGTCATGACGGCATTATGGTCATTAAAAATATAGTATGTGTCATGTGACCATCACGTGATCACTTTAACGGCAAGATTCGACCGGAACAGTGACGGATGGGGTGATCTGTAATTTTTTTGCATAGTTCAAGGGGTTTTTTGTATTTTTAGAAGTTCAGGGGGTTAGTTACAGATTTTTCTATAGTTCGAGAGGGTTTTTTGCACTTTTCCCTATATATTATTTAGGTTCGATACAAAATATTTTTAGAGGAAAATATATATATATATATATATATATATATATATATATTAAGTAAAATATACTTTTATAGTATTTTTACTTTTTGCAATATTTGGCGAAAGTTTAGGTCGAGATTGAGGTCAAGTCCATCTAGCGAGTGCTATAAAATAACTTGTCAAAAATTAATAAGTAAGTTATTTTTATTAAATTTTAATATTTTTTTCTTCGTATTTTACTATTAATTATGAAAAATATATATTTTACCATCGACAATCAAATACCAAAAGTAAAAAAATATTTTTTAAAAAATATTTTACATCTAAAAAACAGAGTCTTAAGGTAATGGAGTTGTCTCTTTCTTCCCATTCAGCTCCAATTTTTCTTCCTATTTTACTATTAATTATGAAAAATATATATTTTACCATCGACAACCAATTGGAGCATAAAGCAACAATATAGATTATGCCTAATGTGTCTTCATTACTTTTCTAATTCACTAGGAAAACACAATGATGGAAAGGAGCGACAGTACAATGAGCCATGGGAGTGAGGGAGAAGGATGTATTTCAAATGATATTCAAGATGATCCCGACATTCCATTATTAAATTCTATTAAGAAAATGATGGACGACCTGCCTTCTTTATCAGATGATTCTTGTATATTTAGAATTCCCAAGAGAATTCGCGAAACAAATGAAAAGGCTTACACACCTCATGTGGTTTCCATCGGACCACTTCATCGTGACAAAGAATGTTCACACTTGCAAGCCAGGGAACAGCATAAACCGAGATACTTGCAGTCAATCCTTCGACGTACCGGCAAGAGTTTGAAGGATTTTATAAAGGAGGTTAAGGAGTGGGAAAAGAGAGCTCGAAGATATTATGCAGAAAGCATTATGCTGAGCAGCAATGATTTTGTGAAAATAATTCTTTTGGATGGTAGTTTCATCATTGAGGTCATTTGGAGGTACAATTACTCTTCGGTAGAACGATTTGATTACTTAGATAGGCAGGTTTGGATAAATGATCTGTGCAACGACATGATCTTACTTGAAAATCAGCTTCCCTACTTTGTTCTCGAGGGTCTCTTCAACCTAGCCTTCCCGCCAACCATTCCGGACTTCCTCAAACTTTCCATCAGGTTCTTTGCAAATTTTGGTATTGTCAGTGACAACCAGTCATTTTCAAGTTATGGAGTAAAGCATTTTGTTGATTTGGTGAGGTTATGTCACTTACCATCATCTCTAAGGCCACCGCCATTAAACACCGTCCACTATGTACCAGTGGGCAATGCCACCGAGCTTCAGGAGGCAGGAATGAAGTTTAAGAAGCATTTTGTTTATTTGCTAAAGGTATGTCTCTTACCATCATCCATAAAGCCTTCAAAAACCGTCCAGTATGTTCCGGTACGCAATGCAACAGAGCTTCAGGTAGCAGGAATGAAGTTTAAGAAGGGCTTGAGCAATCGCATGCTTGATATACAGCATGCCATGGAAGTGTTGGAAATCCCCCAGTTGATCTTATCAAACTGGACGGAACCATTACGTAGAAATCTCATGGCGCTCGAGCAATTTTACTATCCAGGTGATAGTTACATAATTGATTATATTCATTTCATGGATAGCTTAATTGGCACTGCTAAAGATGCCGATTTACTTATTAAAGACGAGATTTTTGTGAACTACCTAGGCGATAGCATTGCAGTGGCAAGTCTCTTTAATAATCTCACCAAGGAAGCGACTTTGTTCCGTCCCAAATATTACTTTTATGGTATGAGTGAAAAAATAAATGCATATTGCAAGGTTCCGTCGCACAAGTGGGAGGCAATACTAAAACGCGATTATTTCTGCACTCCATGGAGAGCAGCTTCTACCATTGCTGCAATGATCCTGCTTGGACTTACTGTTATCCAAACCATATGTGCTATAGTCTCCCTTTAGGTTCAATACATGCATATCTACTATGTACCATTGTGCATTGTACTGATTTTCTCAATTAATATTTTTAACATATTATGTAATTTAATTTCAATATTAATGCCGTCTTTCATTGGTGCAATTATCTAAATTTCTTTTTAGTCTTAAAAACAATGCTGATATTCTTTATTTTGTTGGCAATGGTGCTTTATTTGGGTGGAAAACTCGGAGCACCCAAATATACACGGGTTAACATTTATGTTGATTTATAAACTTTTATGTTATTTATGTTATATGTATATAATTATATGGAGTAATTATAATGGAGTAAGTATACATGTGGTCCACAAAGGAGTAAGTATACTAGTGGCCATACTAGTGGCCTTACAAGTAACCTTGCGACTTGCTATACAAGTTGCTTCATTAGCTTGATGGGCAAGATGTGGCTGGTGGTTATATATATATATATATAACATAGCGCATATGCAAAAAGTAAGAAGTAGAAGTGAATGAAATCTGTTTCCTTTCACTCTCTACGTTTTGCAGTTTTCTCCCTCTACTTTGGTCATGATTCTCCTTGTTTGTCCTGATATACAAGTATTATTATATTTATAACACATTATTAACGTGAGCTCTTACTATTTGAAACTTGAACAAAAAGTTCTCTCTCCCTCTTTCTATCTTAATTATATATCTCTTGTGATATTAGTTTTAATAGATTGTTAATTGGGTTTGCTTATTTTACTGAATAAATAGTATTTCTCACTTCAAAGTGTGAGTCGTACGCAGCGGAATGTATTTAGGAAAGTTTTAGTGTTTGTAAAACAGATCTGTGTCATTACTAACTCTACTTATTTTATTAATTAAACAGTTAATTACAGGCAAATAAAATAAAGCAAAGTATAAAGTTAGAGATGACACCAGAATTTTAGCAAGGAAACCCCAGTTGATAAAATACGTCAACTATTATGGGAAAAACCTCGTGGACTTGTGCAGTCCAAAGTAAACCAATCCACTATGCTTGAAACAAAGTATACTGAATTTTGACTTTGGCTCACACCCTATCATTCTACATCACACCAACCGCCGACGATCCTCTGGCTTTGCGACTCCCCGTTCAACAACAACTTGACCTCAGACTTACACTTGATATTTATAAAAGAATAACAGGTAGATCAGACAGCACTCCACAAATGCTCCAACCCTTTCAAAGTGTGACTGCGCTTACTTCTGTTCTTCAATCATGTGAATGATGTAGAAGAAGATTTGCTTTTGTCTGATCGATGTTAATACGACTGTATGATCACGATCAGGATTCGAACTCCACAACTCTAACCTAACTAAGTGAATATGTGTATGTTCTAGGAAGACAACAGAAAAATTAACTTTGATTTTCTAAGAGGGATTTACTTCCTAAGGCTTTGTATGATATATGAATAATGAATAAAAGCCGTTAATAAACCTTATATATGACATGGTTTATATAGAGCTTTGCAAAGTCCTATTCCTTCAAAAAAAATAGAGAAAAATTCGTGCATAGGACTTAGAAGGAAAGTTGGCTCAAAAAGGTATCAGACAGAACAAGGAAACTAGAATCCTTTTGTAATCAGGACATGTGCTACTGGTTCCATATTTGGTACTGGTTCAAGAAGGACTTGTGGAACCGGTTCCTATATTTGGTACTCGTTCCCAAAGGATAATAAGTTATTCTTCAAAGTATAACTTCTGGAATCGGTTCCCAAATTTGGTACCGGTTCCCACTTGACAGAATCCAACTAGAACTTGGAGTTTTTGTATTTTGGTAACTCTGAACATATACCATGTAGGTAATTGTGTCCTAAATGGGAAACGATGTCCTAATATGTTGTGCTTTCCTTTTCGATGATCAACAGTACTTTCCTCTTTTGTTCAACTTTTGAACTCTGCAATCGATGTCAAGCCTGATATGGTAACTAAAAATACAACTCGACTAGGACTGTTTTGTTATGGAAATATGCCAATTTACAAAAATATATCTCACAATCTCCATCTTTGGCAATTTCGTGACAAAACTCTAAAAACAATTTATAATCTACCCAAAGTAGAAAAATAAATTACAATTGTTTAAGGAAACATGGAATTTGTTTATTTCTGTTTTGTTCTGTCTTTGGACAAAATTTCACCTGAATTCTTGCATAAGGATCAAGCAAAACTACCACTGAAAGTTTAATAAAACAAGTTTAAAAACTCCCCGTGATAAAAATTATCCAAAAAGTCATTTACTCCCCTTTAATATAACCTTGTTCTCCCCCTTTTTGGAACAAAATTGACAAAGTAAATAACCTGAGAGAATTAATAATAAAACAAAGTAAACAGGAAATAGTTTAATACATGTCAGAAAGCAAAACATAATATCCAAAAATATAAGTCATGACAATGTATAAACTAATAAAAAAGGATGCATGAATGATATGAATATAGAATCAAGCATTAGGATCATCTCCAGCAAACGAAACTGTAGAGGTCGGAATGTCCATATCACCACCATCAATGTCACTCCTACTGTCACCCTCATTATCCTCATCATCCTCCTCTGTCTCAGCCTCCTCATCCCTATCATCCTCAGTAGTAAATGAAGGATCTAGAGGGTCTGGTCTGTAGACGTCCTCAGATGTAATCCCTGTTCTCTGCTCTTTCAGCAAACAAACATCCTCTTGAAGATCCAAAACTGCATCCATTAACGCCTTCTGATTCTGAAGAATCAATGAGTAGAGCAGATTGACATCCAAAGTGTTAAAGGTTGCTTAATCGGAAAGAGCTAAGTAACTTCTGGAAAAGATGATGTAGAAGCCGCTAAACCCCTGCTAGCTTGCCACGAGGAAACTTGTGCTGTTTTGGACTTGTTAAAAACCCTCACATCCATCTCAGACATGATCGCAATATGATGAGCACAGGGTGGTAGTGTAATCTTAAAGTGCCGAAATAAACTCATAATGATCATCGGGAATGGTGATGATTTCTTCTTGGAATTGTTCTTGTAATGAGCTATCATCATACCATAAATAGAAGCACCAAGATGTATCTCAGCATCAATGGACAAGAGATATAGTACCTCGGCACGATCCATAGAGATAACGTCCTTCTTCCCAAAGTAGCCAAGATTGGAGATTGCAAACAAATTGAGAAAAGCCGCCTCATCTGTAAGATAACGATTGGGAATTTCATCTTGAAATCGTGGCGAATCTGGAACACACAGCTCATTACATATAGCTTCCTATTTTAACCCAGAATGCACCAATGAAAGACGATAGCCAGTACTTGAAAAATTCTTAGGAATGCCAAGAATTGTCCCTATCACATCAGTATGGACAACATAGTCCTTACCAAATAAGGAAACCTCAAAATATCCCGAATCATGAACCTTGCGGATATTTGAATAGAAGTAGTGAACTAGATCTAGACTATACGAACTTGCCATTGTGGTAAAGAACAACCACTTATGCTTCTCAATGTAGTCCACCAGTTTCTTCCCCGGACTGTCTCGAAGCTTTTTCAAGTTCACATTTCTTTCCAACTTTATCGGACTGTCCTTATACACTCTAGTGTATACTTGCCAAGCATGCTCATTGAAGAAGTGTTCTTGAGCAAACTGAATCTTCCCAGTGTCAGATACTGACGGATACCCAGGTGGTATCTTAGTAGTAGGCGAGCTAGAGTGCATAGGAGCATCCCTTGGAGCGGTTGAACCCTCTTATGGTTCCTGGATGGTTATATTTGTTCGGGCTCTTTTGGAAGGTGGCGGAGATACAATACCTTTACCTTTATCCTTCCGAGACAATTTGGGAGACATTTTGTGTTCAACGAATGTTGGTTTGACGCTCCGAAGCTCACTCGGTAATTTTCACAAACACTTGGTGTGTGCTTCACAACTGTTTTTGAATAAACAAGTTTTGATTCTTCAAAACCCCAATCAGACAACAACTATCAAGCACATGAGGATTCAATCTCAATCCAAACAACTCTCAATCTTTAACAAAGAAGAAATCTTAACCAAATCCTTTAAGTGTTCTTTCTCAACCCCAAACCCAAACTTCACAAATTTTCTTCAACTTCTATGCTTCAATCTCAAGATTCAATCTTCAACTCTTAAGATCATGTGAATGATTTTATGATTAACTTGTAAGTATATGATGAGTATGATGCAAGATTGAAACACAATATATATGATGTATATATATATATAGAATTAGAGAGAGAGAGAGTGCATACATAAAGAGAGAAAGTGTGTGTATGCAACAATACCCAACATGTCAAATGAGTTCTATATATGCCAATACTCGCTGCCAGGAACCGGTAGCCAAAGTGGGCAGTGAACAATTCGTGGTTTTGGACCACTTTGGAACCGGTAGGAAATTTCAAAACCGGTAGGAACATGACAGTAAACTTCCTAAAATTTTTCCAGAAAATTTTCCCTTGGATTTTGTGATTTACTCAATGATCAAACCAACAAAAAAAAAAAAAAAAAAATAAAAAAAAAAAAAAAATAAAAAATAAAAACTATAAACTAAAACAAAAAAAAAAATTTAAATTTTTTTTAATTTTTTAATTTTTTTCATTCATTTTTTTAATATATAAAAACAAAACAAAAAATAAGAACAAATCATTGAGTAGTCATCCAAAAGTCTTTCAAGTCCACACCTGATTCAATATTTCCAGAAAATTTCAGAGATATTTATGAACGAAAATTTCGACTCCACAAAATATTCAATTAAGTTCAATTCTCAAAATATAATCACAACATGAATTTTAACTTGCAAATTTTAATGAAACATTTAGAAATCAATCCAGCAAGTTCAAGTGTGTGTGTGCAATCGATCTCATCAATTTTCAATCAATCATCAATAAATCATTGTCCAAACTATATTAATCGAAAAACATCAATATAAAATTGTCTTTGAGCAATTTTTCTAAGTAAGGTGGCTTTCACTCTAAAGAGCAGACACCAATTCCCCAATTCAACTTGTCTCTACTTTTTTATTTACTCA